GCATACTTCCAAGCTCTAAGCACCTCAATATTATTCCTCTCCTCTCTTCTTAGTCTTCTATCATATATGCTTGTTGATTCATGTTTGCATCTTCAATGGCGAGGATTAAGAAGATATCAGCTTCAAAATTCCTCATTCCTTCAAGCATTTTCAATCTTGAGTTTTTGGATCTGGGCTTCGAGGATATGTGTGTCTTCAAATTCATCTTAGATGTTAGATTTGGACTTTGACTTTGACTTTGACTCATCCATGGGACACACCGTTAATCACATTCTTCGAAGGCTTTTAGTCCTTCTTGCCTCTTAAATCTGGTTGTCACAACAAGGAAGAAAAGAGATGGGTTTGTTGTTTGCGAGGAGGAAGAAGAGAGATGATTTTCCAAATGAACAAAGGTAGGTTTATGGGGTGTCAAAAGAGTTCTTTGGTTTTGGGTTAGGCTACTATAATTTTTTAAATTTTGTCAGTTGTTTTGTTTTATGAGGACCAACCCAAAAATTTGGTATAACCCGGTCCTGTCTAGATAAGTGCTGGGTTATTACCAGGTTAGACTAAACCATGGGTTAATTTTTCTAGCCCCATTTATTTCAACCTGGACATCGGGTTGGGATGTAGCCTGTTGCAACCCAATCTTTGTGCACCCCTAGTTGCTAAGTTGTGATTCAATTCGTAAGTCCATTGAAAATGCTGATAGCTTTGATGACCTAAATACTATTGAATTCTTGAACACAATTAGTTGCTCTAGTTTGCCACCGCACAAGTTAATATTGAAAGTTAGAGCACCTATTATGTTGTTGCAGAATATTGATCAAGAGCTGGTCTATGTAATGGGACATGATTACGAATCTCCCAAGTTGGCAAATCAGTCATTAAAGTGATAACAATGAATGGTAGTCAACCACATTAGAAGGCATTCATTCATAGAATGGACATAAATCTTTCAGAAAGTAGGTGGCTATTTCAGAAGCAAAGGAGGCAATTTCCTATAAATTTGTCCATTGCAATGACAATCAACAAAAGTCAAGGGCAATCCCTACATCATGTTAGGTTATATTTACCCAAGCCAGTGTTTACACATGGGCAATTATATGTTGCATTATCAAGAGTAAGATGCATGGAGGGATTGAAGAGTAATAAATAACAATGATGCTAAATCTTCAGGGAGGACAAAGAACATTGTGTATAAGGAGATTTTCCAGAATCTTCGTGCATGATCGATTCATGGAATTGTGATTAATGTTATGATAAAAGTATCTAACACTATGTGTTGGAATGATCATTAATTTCAAAGTGATGAGGATTACAAAGGTGTGGGATGTTCCGCTGTACAAATGAAATGGTGCTTCAAATTCAATCTTCCTATGCATTGCATGGGGGAGCATAACCTAGTTATATGAAAAATATAAAAGTTAGAAGAATTTGGTTTATAAAATTTTTTAATTTAATTTAAATTTTTTTGAATATATGTGTAAAAATTATTATTATCTTGCTTAGTTCCTTCAACTTACTACCCAAGTCCATTGCTAAAACTAGCCACAATGAGGACAACGAGTCGATAGGTCAAACTTATCCATCTGAGCAGCCTTCACCACGCAGCACCACTAGTTACATGTCTCAAGGACTGTGTAACCCAAGACGAGGAAGGATGTTGATCAACTTAGGGAAATTGAGAATTGCAGAGCTTCCTTTGATGCTCCCAAAGTAATGATATCATGTGCTTTGACTACCATTTTTAGAGTTGAGAATGTAACTAACCATATGCGCGGTTTCTTATGGGGCTTGCGAATTTCAAAGATGCAGTTACTCGAATTTTGAAGTGAGAAAGTCTTATAGGTAAAGGAATGGTGAGGTCAGGAGCATGGTGAGAGGGAGAAGACATTGAGAAGCAAGCTAATGAGGAAGGAAATCTTTGTCTGAGAGTTGGTTGTCTGGGAAAAGAGATAGATGGTGAAGATGTTTCAAAGAGAGAAGATACTTCGGACGTTCTGCTATGATTTCTAACAGAAAATTGTAATGACGTTGGCTCCTATTTAACGGCAAGGCTAACATATCTAACAGTTGAAAGTTAAAGGACTCCATAGGAAAAAAATGTCTAAGCACCTGATTTAAAATGAAGGAAAACTATAAGGACCTCTAAATTACTTTTCCCATATTTTTTAACCTTAGACCCATTTGGTTGAAAGAATTTGTTAAAATGAATAAAAATAAATAGAAATGGAATGACAAATCTCTAAATGATGACATGTTTGGTAAGTATTGACATGAAAAATAGGTTAATAAGAAATTTTATATTTGATTGGATGAAAATGAGTTGAAAATTATGCAATTTTATCATGTTACTCTTAATAAAAAATGTAATATTTTTAAGTAAAAACGCTTTTGAATTTTATAGAATAATATTATTATTAAAACAGTCAATAATTCAAAAAATATATAATAATGATAAATATAAATATTCAATATAAATATAAAAATAATTATAGATATTAAATCATTAAAAATAAGTAAATAAAAATAAAATATAATAGAGAAGTTTGTAAAAAGAATAAAAATAAATTCACGAGGCAAAAGGAAGAAAAAAAAGAAAGAAAGGAAAGAAGCATAACCAAATAATCTATATATCTAAAGGACACAAATAAAGTTAAATAAAATGTCAATTTTTAGATGATATACATTTGTTAATTTAGATTTAAATGAGTCAAACAATTTATCATTAAAAAGATCTTTAAGTTTAGTTTTTAATGCAATAAAATCCATTTAAAAATTTTTGTATTTTGAAATTTATTATCATTAGAAATTTAAATTTTCTTATGTCAAATTTAAATCAATTCAAGAGAATTTGACTTTAATGCAGCAAGTTCAACTTTTTTTGCAGCAAATTTGAATATGCTCATTTTTTTTCTCGCAGCTTAAAGTTTAATCATGGGTTTATTAATGTAAATTAGAATTTGCATCAACAAATTTCAATTTTTGCACAATATATTCCAATTTTTTGTGCAGAATTTGAATTCGTCACGCCTCTATTACACTATGTTTTTAATGTTTTGAACATAGTAAATTTTGATTATGTACAACTTTCTCAATTTAAATTCAAATTATGCGAACGACCTATCATTAAAAGCTTTCTGAGTCTAGTTTTCAATGCAATAAGACCCTTTCAAAAGCACTTTGTAATTTTAAAGTTATAATAAAAAAAGCGAGTAAGGGTTAGAATTTTTTTTTCTCCCTAGCTTTAAAATTAGATTTAAAAAATCATATCTAGTTTATATAAAGGCATTTTTATCGGGATAGATTTTGTTGAAAAGCTTATTGAATGAATGTTGATACTTGTTGGCCAATCCTTATATGTTGGTTGAGCGACCCAACAGTGACAAAATAATTAAACATATAGCAAAGATGAAGATTCAATGCTGTGGTTGTTCAAGCAACTTCTCATGATTTCATCAATTAGATGCTGAGAATTTTATTTAAATTTGAAGGACAATTTAGTCTTTTGTATTTTCGTGCCTGTGATGAAAAATCTGTTCCGTTAAAATTGGTGGGAACTCATTTTCTCTTAAATAATGGAAAATCCACCATCCCCAAAAAATGGATTGCTGGAAAATCAACGTTTTCTTTGGGAGAATTAGAATAAAGGACCCCTAGAAAGAAATATTTATTAAAAAAGACCATAAAAATTAGAATTACTTAAAAGGACCAAAATTTAAAATACTGATCCTAAAATGCCAAATTATCTCTATCCCACCTCCATCTCTCTCCGTGATTTTTCCACCCTTGATGTAGTAGTAGTTGCTGCTTTCCTTCCCTACTATTTTATATTGTTAGGTATTTATTTTAAAATAATGTAATTACATTTTTCCCACAAGTTTTTCAAAAAGTTAGAACTTCCCTAAGCGATATATACACAACTTTTTTCTTATTCATACTCAGAATTTGCAATTATTAATAACATTATTATTTTAAAATCTTCAAGTTTTCTTATCGCAAACGATAACATTCAAAACCATTTGTTGCTCACAATCCGAAATCTAACATTTGATGATTTTTCAATTTTGTATAGAGTGAGACGTGACAGTTGATTGGAAAAGAAGAATAATTATGAGTGATTTAGTATTTTTAAAATTGTATTTTAATTTTTGGTCATTTAAAATAATTATGCTTTTTAAGATCCTCTAAAATAATTATGATTTTTAAGATCCTCTAAAATACATATTGCTTTTTCTTGGTCCTTGGTTCTAATTCTCCCTTCTTTTTTTTTCCATCGCAAGATTTTCAGCATACCAAACAGATTCTTAGTATATTGGATGCAAAAAAAAAAAAAATTAAGATGTTAATGCTAGCCGCACCTATAGAAATATTTTAAGATGCTGAATACATTAAAAAATACTTCAAAATGCTAAACACATAAAAAATAGGATTAATATAATATTTAATCCCTCAATTTTATCTTTATTTTAATTTTGGTTCTTTAAATTTCAAATCATTGATTTTGGTCTCTTAAGAGGCAAAATGATCTAGATATTTATTGAATTATAATGACCAATATTTTAAATAAAAAGAAATTTGAGAGATTAAATAGTATAAGGATAAACTTGATAGACCAAAAATTATATTAATATTAAAAAATATTTTAAGGTACCGGACTAAATCCCAAATTAGACAGCTGAGATTAATTTGTGATTAACGACTCAAATCCTTCATTAACCAAACGGTGCGTTTTATGAGGGATGAGCGCGCATATCCGCCGAGTAGCAAATGTGGCTCATTCCCTCTTCCATTCGCTTTCAGTGACCGTTTCGTACGAGAAAGAATGAGAGAAGGAAAGAGGAGGGAAAATTTTAATAAAATTGATTTTAAAAATTTTAATTATTTTTTATTATTCTTCTATATTTTTGTTTTAAATTAAAATTTCAAAACTTCATTTATCTACTTTTTTAAATAGAGCTTATTACGATTTTTTTTTTCCCTCCTTCCATTTCACTCGTTCGAATCGAAACAATACCCCTTCGGCAGGTCGAGCTCGAGCTCCATCTCTCCTCCCTCGCCACCTATGTTGAATCTACCACTCACCAGTCGCTGCCGAGTCTCCGTCTCTCAGTCTCACCGTCGACGACACGCAGCACGCCAGCAGCTCGACGCAACGTCCCGTGGTCCTGTCGAGTTCGACGACGCCGACACGCGAGTTGCCCTTGTTCTCCCCTTCTAGTCTCGTCCTCGTCTGATCTACTCCTTCTTCTCCTTTTCCTCTCCATCGCCTCTAACTCTGGGTATGTTTGTTGTTTAATTTTATTTTGATTTTCGGATTAAGCTACTGTTCGTGGAATCTGAACCTGCTCGATGTTCGTGGGAATTTGAATCTGAAATTCTGAACTTGTTTTACGTTGAGAAGGGAAGCCATTTTTGGTCTAAGAAGAGAAGAAAGCTAAATTTGGCAGCTTCTGCGTTTCTCAGATAAACCGACGCTATGTGTTTTACTGTCTATAATCTATAATTCAATAAGTGAGTATATTCTGGCTCTCTTTGAAGCAATGTTTTCAAAGCCGGACCGGATATTGAACCGGAAAACCTAACGGGTCACGGTTCAAACGGTCGAATCGGTCAAACCGTTCAGTCGGACCGGTAACGTAATAATTAAATTAAAAATAATATTATATATTTATATAATAATATAAATATAAAAATAGATATAAAAATTATTGTATGACTTGAGAATAAAAATAAACAAACTCACGTATAATAATATATATCCTAATTCTTAACTCCCAACACGATAAAACTATTGAAATAAAATTCTTTTAGCATTGTACCCTTTGAATATGATATTATAATAGTACTATTTTTAATTTCCTCTTCAGCATAGTTTTTTATTTAAATCATTTCACTCCGTTTTTTGGGCCAACTCTTTCACTACAATTAATACATGTCAGATGGCCTTTTTTATCCTCACAAGCAAGGATGTCGCTTCTTTTCAGTTTTTACTTCTTCATTTTCCAACTGGAGGCCATAAAAGCGATGTCTTTTCTGTCAGTCTTTCTTTTAAATTTTTGACGGTGCAGCAATAGGAGTAAGACCAGATGGCTTCTACTTTTTACAGTGTATTTATGCACGGTGGTTTCAACCCCTTGATTTATGGAACAAAAGTGACGAGCTTTTTTCTTCTTCTTCTTTCATCATCTTCTTCTTCCGGCAAGCATGTCCTGTTCTCTTCTTCAATATTCTCCCTTTTCTTTTCTTCTTTGTATTTCAGGAACAGATCTTGAGTTGGTGAGTGAGTGAGACTATGTATGATTTGTTTTTTCCAGCGTTCATGGTGAGACAGAGTTTGGCCGTTCGGTTTTTCCAAAACCGTCCCGGCTCTCCGGTTAATACCGGCTTCCGGTCTAAAGGGCGGCTGGAAGCGGCCCAAACGATAGAACGAGCTAACCAGTTGGGACGAGCCGCAGTGAGCACCAGCTGACGATCTGACCGGTTTGACCGGCCGGTCTGGTCCGGGTTTTAAATCATTGCTTTGAAGTCACATTTGAAACCTTTCATATAAGGAGAGACTCATTTATCTCGTACTCCTTTGCTCTTATTTATAAGGTAAAAAGAAGCATTTTTTTTTGCCATTTATTTAGAAAAAATTGTAAATACAAACCCTCAAAATTATGAAATTGTGAAATGGGTACTTGAATTAATATAATTACTACCAAGGATGTGGTCCCAAATATGAATTATGATATGTTGGTGAACAGATGAAAATATCCTTCTGCTTTTCCTAATCCTTTGCCGTCATGCCCCGACTCTATCTTTCTTCATTGTCTAACTCCTCTCCCTCTTCCTTTCTTACAGCGATAGCGAGATAAATGACGGCAAGGACAACAATGATGAGTGAATGAAGGGAGGCGACGATGAGCAAATGAGCTATGGCAAAGATGGCAATGACGATTATTTTGGGTTCGATTTCCCCCCTGACTCGTCTTCCTCTTCCTTGGATTTCTGGTTCAAGTATTTCAAGTTATTCCTACCAAAGTCATTTGGTAAAGACCCATTAAGCAAATTCGAAGACATATCTACATTATAAACAGAGTGAAACCAGAGTTGTATTGTCTCAAGACCTTCTACGAAAAAGGTAGGTTCAATGTATTGTTTACGGGCTCTGGCAAAGAAGCTTTTTAGATTGATAATTCTAAATGCTAGTTTTCCATATCCTACATTATGTTTTGCTTTATATTTGTATTTTGGGTTTTCATATAACTTGAAACAACTATCAAAATTCGTATATTGCTTTATGCGAATGGTGGGTGGTTTAGGTGGGGGAAATGTTAGGAGGGCAAAGGGTTATACGCTTGTACTGTATGATAAAATATATACTAAAATAAAAAGTTTAGAGTTCAGCTTTCATGAATTATGAAAGACAAAAGAGTGTCACTGTGTAGCACCCTTACTATCTGCTAAGATTAGTCAGCCCGCCATAACCGTCAGCTTTCGATCTTATTGGCCTCTTTTTAACCGTTTAGGTTCCTCTTAAAAGCTTGTCTTTTTGAATTAATCAAATGGCTTTGAGAGGGGTTTGGCAACTACAGAAACTAATTGCAAGCTATTGTGATTGGGGTGGAAGTAGCAGAGGAATAAGGTATACTTCTCAATATATAATTTCAAGTTTTGTTTTGCATTTTAATCAAGGTTTATTTGTTTGTAGCGTTTTGTGCAAAATTAGTTGCAAGGGTGAATTTAAATACTGCTGTATCCAGCATGCCATTATATATGTTATATTGCTCTCATGATCTGTTTTTTTCATTTTACGATAATAAGTGTGTTGTACTTTTATTGTTCACATTTTTATTAGGTATAGTAGTTAGAGGTTACCAATTTTGATATATTCAAAAACACATTTTTCTTGTTAACTAAATAATACAATTTTTTTTTTGATACAAATTAAGAGCTTAAAATCATCATGGTCACCCACTAATTTTTAATCACAAGATTGACTCATCACTAGGGTGCTACATTTGAATTTGAGGTGTTTGAACGAAGACAATTTATGATACTCGCTTGAGCTATTGGGTGAAAGACCATAGAGAAAGAATGCTAAGTGATTCACTATTGTGGTAATTTAAGTAATCAATGGTTGTTACTGTTTTGGTATATTCTACATTACTTATATCATTTTGTCCTTTTGTTTGGTTTCTTCCTTTCTTTATTCTTTAGTGCTTCTCTATAAGGTACTTAAATAAAATTACAGGGAAGAATTGCTGCTTCAATAATTTACGTGTGGATTTTTATCTTCAATATGAACCTCACCCGTCATCCTCAAAAAACTTGCACCATCTATTCCAAAGTAAGCTTCGTTTACTTTCCATTTGGCATCCTCCTATGGCCATCATGTTATGTCTGTTTGAAATTTGTGTGGCTGCTAGTTTTAAATAGCCTTAAAACTGTCATTTGTATTTGAAGTCTAATACCGTTGCTCTTTTTCTTACCAATTACTACTATGTATTATCTTAATAGCAATCATGTTGAGTCTTTTCTGTACAATCTGAGGAGCGATTTGAGTACTTCTGACCTGTTTAGTGTTTACAATGGAATTCTTGTGTTATGTTCAGTATTGATTAGAATATCCTGTTCACTATTGAACTATGTCAACACTGTTATGTTGACGTATAATTTATGAATTACCAACACTTTTTTTTGACCCAAGCAACATTTTTCTTCTCTTCAAAACGACTACGAGTACATTTTTATCTCATACTAGACTTGATATTAATAACTAAATTGTGAAAATAATATCAATTTCTGGTAAAACTTAAGTTAATGTAAATAGTTTTTCAATACTTGTTATTGACAATTAAATTGTGAAAATAATACCAATTTCTGATAAAACTTAAGTTAATATAAATAATTTTTCAATACTTGTTATTTTTCATACTAGACTTGTCATTGACAACTAAACTGTGAAAATAATATAAATTTTGGGTAAAATTTAAGTTAATATGAATAGCTTTTCAAAACTTGTTATTTCTCAAACTGGACTTGTAATTTCCTATTCTAGATTTGTAATTCCCTATTCCCTATTACAAACTTGTAATTCTCTATTTCAAAGTTGTAATTTCATATTTCAGACTTGTTATTTCCTATTACATATTTGTTATTTCCTATTGCATATTTGATATGATTATTTTTGCTGAATCTAACGATAGCCATTATGTTTTCCCTGTATAGTTCTTTTATTTGAGTTGCCTTATAAAAATATCCGTGTTGTTCCTCCAATAGCTGTAGAAGTTGTTCCAGCAGCTTGAGAGGCTTGCTTGACGAGAGGATATTGATTGATTTTTATGATGATAGTGATATTTCCAATATGTTTAGATATAGTAATAGTAGTGCTCATTTGTATATAGTAGTCAAAGGGAATGATAGGAAACCTAGAGCAATGAATGATACAAAAATGTGAGTGCTTATATTTTTACCGTAAGTTGTTATTTGGTAATAAATTATTACTGATCCATTTACTAGACTTGTAATTTTCATATTTTGACTTGTAATTTTCTTATCCAGACATGTTATTTCACTTATTAGACTTATAATTTTTATATTCAAACTTGTTATTTCACCTACCAGACTTGTAATTTTTTTATGTAGATTTATTATTTGACATATAGCACTTGTAATTTTCATATTCAAATTTACTAATAAATGGTTTGTTACATTAAAGTTATCCAATAACTTTCACTGTAAAACACTTATAAACACCAAGGTTAAAACTAAAGAATAAAATTTGAGTTGAAAAGCTATTAACATTAATTTAAGTTTTAACAGAAATTGTATTATTTTCATAATTTAGTTGCAAATAATAAGTCTAGTATGGAAAATAACAAATATTGAAAGTTATTTATAAAATTTTAGTAAAAATTGACATCATTTCCATAATTTAGCTACTAATGATAAGTCTAATAAAAAAAATAACAAGTATTAAAAAGCTATTTATAACAACTTAAGTTTTAGAAGAAATTGGTATCATTTTCACAATTCAATTGCCAATAACAAGTCCATAATAGAAAATAACAAGTATTGAAAAGTTATTGACAATAACTTAAGGCTTAGCATAAATGGCATTATTTTCATAATCTAGTTCTGGTAATAAGTTTAGTATAGAAAATAACAAGGGTTGAAAATTTATTGATATTAACTTATATTTTAGCAAAAATTAGCATTATTTTTATAATTTAATTATCAATAACAAGTTTAGTATGAAAAATAACAACTCTCCATAAACTTCATCTCCAATATAGTGAAATAAAATGTAACCCATGGCCACACAATGGTAAAATATGGCAATGAAATGAGGAGGGCGAACTAGAATCTCTATTATATTATATTTAAAGAAAAAATATACAAGATGGATAGACCGTATAATCCATTGTCACTAATGTAGGCTTAATTGAGCTAACCATATGCATTCCCTTCTCATATGCCCAATGATATTCATATCCACAAATTAATAAATTCAACAAAATCAAATTAGCCTTAACAATCCTAATAAAATGGCACCATATGTAGTTTCTCCATTGCATCATCATTCAAGCAAGGGAAATGTAGTAAAGACAGGAAAATGGTTCTATGACAATGATTTGGTGGAAATAATTTTTCACAATCAAGAATGGAGCCAGGATCCGTTGCAAGCAATCTCCAGAACCTTATATTCCTTTTGGTCGTCAAAAATTTCTTTATCATATGAAGTGTTCTAAGACCTGAAATTGGCCTATTACAAATCCAAACATATCAACTTGTTCAAATTTGAGCAGAGAAGGGAGGAGGACACCGTCATCACTATTCTAGATTTTCTTCTTCAACAACAAAAGTCGAGGGAGGAAAGAGGGGTGGGGCGGATGGGGGGTTGGAAGAGGAAGGAGGAGAAGCAAGAGGAGAGGGAGAGGAAGTGGAGAATGAAAGAGAATGAGAGGATGAGGGCTTTTTTTTTTTATAAAACAAATGGGGGTATTTGGTCTTTTCACCAATTTCTTATAATTCATATTTGGAACCCAATCCTTGGTAGTAATTATGTTAATTCAAGTACTCATTTCGCAATTTCATAATTTTGAGAGTTTTTATTTACAATTGTCCCATTTATTTATCAAGCAGAGAGAAAAAATTCTCATATACATATATAATTTTTCTCTTCATTTGATTTTGTGTTGATTTGTTGTTAATTATTATAGAGGGTAATAGATACTAAAAATAAATAAAATTAGAAAATTATTAAATTTTAAATAAAAATAATAAAATTTAAGATTTTTTTAGTCTTTATAAAATATATGAAAAGTAATTTATAAATAGTATCACGTGAAATTAAGAATAGTATATGGTGTATTAATGTTCATGGCAGACTTAAGGCGAGTGGGCCTATTCGGCCCGGACCACAAAAGCTTGAATTTGCCGCATCCCGCGAGGGTTGGCCCATATTATTAATTTAAAGCACATATTACTTACAGCGCCTCTTTACCTGTTCCCAAAAACACATTAGCTATTAATCATAACACTGATCACAACTTTTGTTCAGCTGGAATTCATTAGCTACTTTTATAATATTTAACAATTAACAATCACTTTTTTAATATTTTAAACTTGCTAGGATAAATGGATGGATAAGGTCTGTCTTTCAAACGGATTATCATTCTTGTTTAGTGTTTCACGACAAGTCACCAGCTATTTATTATGAAGTTTAAAATATAAACAAAGAAATAGTTATTAATTAGTGAAATGATTTTTCAATAAGTGAAACGTTTTTTTGGCCTACACGTTAAATAGTAAAACGTAAGTGTTAGATGAAATAACTAATGAACTAAAACCAAATGAGCTAAAAGCAACAAGAAATCACTTGAGTAGACCGCTAGTCTGAGTGGGTTATCAGGTTCAATAATTTTCACTTGCTCAGAACATGTAAGAATCATGAGAAATAAAAAGAAAGTTAATCCCAAAACGGAGAAAGAGGGAAAGAAAGAAGAGAAAGAAAATAGAGGAAGAGACACAAAAAATAACTTATGGGAAGAGAAGATTCTTGAAAAATCATAATAAAAAATTAAGTGAATACCAGAACCGGTAACAAGTGAACTAGTATGGATTACACTTATCCTGTGTAAACTGGAAATAACTCGTGTAAATTGTCAGTCTAAGTGGGTTATTAGGTTCAATATTTTTCACTTGCTCAGAAAATCTAAAAATCATTAGAAATAAAAAGAAAGTTCATCTGAAAAACGGAGAAAGAGGGAGAGAAAGAAGAGAAAGAAAATAGAGGAAGAGCCGTAAAAAAAAAAAACTTACTAGAACAGAAAACTCTTGAAAAATCATGATAAAAAATAAAGTGAAAAACTTTTTTAAAGGCTAGAGAGCATAAAAGGGGAAAGAAAATATGTTTCAGGTGAGCACTTGAGTTTTGTCATGTGAGATGAAGATAGGAAAATAAGGAGAGGAAGGAGCTCTAATGAGGCGACAATCCCGGCATCCAAAATGAAAATGAAAAGATGGAAAAGGCAATGAGTGATGATAGCTCAGAATTAAAGCGTTGCAGGCAGCATCAGTACTTTTTCTTTTTTCTTTTTTTTGTTTTCCAAAGCTAAGTGATCCATTCCCTATGCAAACATAAACTCCATCAGAATTAAAGTCTAGATCAGGATCTTTTTGAAGTACAACATATTCTATAATTTCAACGAAACAAGAGAGGAGCGAAGTGATGTGCATACAGAGGGAGCGGTTAAGCTAGCAGTAGATGGCTCTGTTCTACAGGACGGAAGAAGTGGCTGCGGAGGAGTATTACAAGACAAAGGAGATAATTGGATGTGTGGTTTCAGTTGCAAGCTCACTAATGTGCCCTCCACGATAGCAGAACTGATCGGTATTATTCATGGTTTGAACTTATGCTGGAGCAAGAGTTTTAAGGAAGTTTCCCTTTACTCTAACAGCTTGGAAGTGATCAACCTTATCACCAGGGGATGTGATGACCGGCACCCTTTCAAGGACATTATTGATGATGCTAGATTGGCTCTTAACAGAGATTGGAAGGTTAACGTGTACCATGTGCATAGGGATGGGAATCACCTAGCAGACTACCTTGCCAAAGTCTCCCATAATATTGATATTTCCTTTTGGATCCTTCATCAACCTCCTCTAGTCCAAGAGGCAGAAGGTGATGAAGAAGGTTAGGCTCTGTTTGTTCTTGGTTGTTTTCTTTTGCTGTGCTGTTTTAGTCTGTATCCAGTTGTATTATTCAGGAAAAAAAAAACATATACTCCCTTTGTCTCTTACATAAACAACATAGAACTTTGTTATGTAGAATAAAAAGTTAGTTTTAAAAAAATAAATTAAATTAAATTTTTTAAATAAAATATCTTTATTTAAGAGGGGAGAGAATATAAGAAAAAGAATAAGAAAATTATTATAATAGAGAGAATTATGAAAAAGAGAGAATGTGTGATGAAGAGATATAATAAATTGGGAAATACGACAATAAATAT